TATATTCCATTAGGTACTTTTCTATATATCTTTTTTTTTGTTGTTGTTATAGTAACAAAAGTGGGTTTGTTTTTCCTTTACAATTTTTTTTATTGTTTTCACAGTATTCTTCTCTAAGACTCGATTCATTTCTTCTTCTATTCCAGCAAATATGATAATTCGCTGCCTTTTCGTATGGATTTAATTTCTTTCTGTGAAGATCCGTGATATCTATCAACTGACAATTATCGTTCGGACTTGTATAATCTCGTTTGATCCGGGTATGAATATTCCACCTCCATTACCTAAAAATGATGTGGAGGCGCTAAAGTTATCAATAAGAATGTTAGAGCAAAACTATTTAATAATTAATCACTGTTTATTAAAACAAGGCAGTCGCACCGAGAAACTGAATCAAACCTAAAACGAAACCGAAGTCAAGAGCGGAATCGAACAGAGCCCTCGACCTTGGGGGCGAGAGAGAAGAAATGATTTCGCCGAAAATTGAATCTCTTTACACGCCCTTAGTTAACTGATAAAGGCAAGGTCACGTTTGGGATTATGTAATGCTCTTCTCGTAGGCCTTCTTTTTAGCGACAGAGTGTGAGAACCTGTATCCTGTAGCCATAAGTAAGGTCAGTAAACTTTTCCCTTTTTTCAAATTCCTCTTTAAATATCTTTATTTTGGTTTGATTTACGGATCTTTTGTTATAGTAAGGATGTGCTGACAATGGACTTTGCATGTGTAGTTTGAGAAAAGCTGATACTTTATCGATTATTCCGTTTTTAACAGAAAAAGAAGTCCAGATTATTGCTGAAGGAACGCGATTTAATTATTCATTTAATTATTATTATTATTATTATTATTTTCTCGGGGATATGTCATTACAGTAGTGAAGTATTAGTGTAGTTATTGAATTTCAACTCACACTTTATTTTGTTTCATTTTGGTTTTAATTGATTTTTTAAAACAAAGGCCTTAATTTTTAGGAAATAAATGTAATTTGAGAGAAAATGATGAATTGTTTATGCAGTAATTAAACAATTACCGCAAAGTCATGGTGAATCAGTGAGTCATTGTGACAATATTTTTTTTTCTTACTATGATTTTATAAGGTGCTTGTGAATAGAATAAGAAGTTATAACTAATCACTTGAGACTAATTTTTTGTATTTTCCTTGATTATTAAATGGATTTATAGGAAAATTTGAGGTTTATTGTATGTTTCTATTTGTATTACCAGTCTCAAAATAAAGAAACACATTTCTTTATTCTATATTTTGAATCAGATTATGAAGCATAGGCCTTCGAGTATGATTTATGGCCATATAATTTACACAATATTTAATCATGAGGATGTAATATATATTTAATTACATACATATCTAGATCATACAGTCCAGAGGTTTTAGATGGGGGAACGCAAACCCTAAAAAGGTCATATTAGGGCATATATTCAGATGTACCTCAGGGATGAGCACAATGGTGACTGGCATGATGTGGACGGCGGGGACGATGGTCAAGGTGGAATGGGTATTCATACGGGTTAATGATAGGGGGTTGTGATGGTGTGCGTGTGGCATATATGTGATGAAAGGTGTGTAGAGCTGAGGAAATGGCCATAAAGAGGTGATGAGATGTCCATGTAGAGGTAATGAGATGGCCATGTTGAAGTGCAGAAGTGGCCATGTAGAACTCAATCTCGATAAATTATGCGCAGGGTGCTGATGAGTTCATATCACGCATATTTGCGGTTGGTTGCTGAGGGTGGGGGAAAGGATTATGGTGTAAGTGGCAGTATAAGTGTTTGTGAATGTGCTTGTAGTGTAATGTATTTGTTCAGTTTGTTAGGGAAGGCATTGAGTGTTTTTGCTTCGATGAAATGTTGGGTAGCCCATTCCAGTCGTGCATGGTACGTGATGAGATGGCCTTGTAGAGGTAATGAGGTTGCCTTGTAGAAGTACAAAAGTGGGCATGTAGAGGTGACAAAATGACCATGGTAATAATTTCAAAGGATACGGTGTGGGTGGTTTCAGAATTTTAAAAGGCACATGATCAACTTAAGTGCAAGAAATACTGCTATAGTATCACATGTATTAGATTGCATTTTGAAATTCAGACCAACAAGATTAAGTACAAGTTTACATAATGCATTACCAATATTTAATAAAACTGATACAAATTTTTAATAATGTGAACTAATAAGAATAAAGAATGTAATTAGTTAATGCATATTTTTTATATATGATAATGATGTATTATATTTTATCATTTAATCAAAATCTCTATATTTCCATTTAGAATACATGCCTCTTTTTTTTTCAGTGAGATGATGGCATCGAGAATTGTGAGGTTTGGATCATCAAGCCTTAGGCCTTTGATGAGGGCTGTTTCCATCTTGGGCCCTAAAACATGCACTGGAAGGAAGCAAGTTCACACAGCACCTCATGCATGTTTCCCGAAGTGTGAATTAACATCAAAGAGGTAAGTTGAGGGTTATTTTACTCTTTAATCTTTTAATTATAGTTAGGTTCTAAGAATTGTTTTATCTGTGACCTATCCAGCACATGAATATAGGTGATATTTACTGCTATATGTAACAACCAGTATTCAATCATGTTCCATATTGCCAACCAACCAAAATATCTGCTTCATTTCATTTGAGTTCTGTGCTCCTATAGGCCACAGACTGCTGTAATGCAGGTATCAGATGCTTTAAGCAAAATTTTGTCAATTCCATTGAATTGCTTTATGATTTATTGCCAAAAAAGGAGCTAATCTGAGTCTGTCTTGCCTTATGTAAATGGTTCATGTCTGGTGGCATCTGCCTATAAGATCACTATCAGCCATGTTATGCTAGATTTGAAAGCCTCTCCACACAAGTAATATTAAATACTTTGTGTTTGTTTTGATTTTTTTTAATTAGAGAAATTTTTGAGTACCTTAATATTTAGTGACCCAAGGTCAATTAGGTGCAAAGATGAGTAATTTTTACAGTATTAATGCACTAACCAAGGGCAAATTGACAATATTCTTATTGAGGACAAAAAGTTGTGGTCATTGGTACAATAGGGAATCTGCAGACACAAACAATAATGCCACAAGTAAAAGAGAAAGGTCACGGAAAATACCACTCACAGCCTTAGTCCACTCAATGCTCCCAGTTATGGCAATTTAGATTGCTGAATAAAGTAGCGCCAATACAAAAAATTTGTGTGGACCAGATCAAAAATAATTTTATCTTCAGTAAAGATAGACATTCAGTGTGTTATTCAATCTGGCAGGTATCCTGTTGAGAGAGGTCCATTTTCCCAAATAACACCTGAAGATATCAAGTTCTTCACTGAGCTTCTTAGTCCACATAGAATCATAACAGAGGAATCAGAACTTGAGGGCCATAACACTGACTGGCTCGGAATGGTACGTGGAGCTTCCTCAGTTCTTCTGAAGCCCAAGACCACGGAGGAAGTATCAGCCATTCTTAGTTACTGTAATCAACATAAACTTGCAGTCTGCCCTCAAGGTATAGATATATTCAGTTTTTTTCTTTCCTCCCCTTCTCTCTCTTCTGATCTTCTCTTTTTTATCCCCCTCTATCTCCTCCCCTTCTATCTCTTTCTCTTCTGACTTCCTTTCAGAATACAGACTCTTTTCATGTCATTAGTATTTAGCAAAGAAATATAATGGTTAACTTGAGACCATTTTTAGCCTTCCGTTATATGATAGAGAAAGGGACATTGTATTACCTAATTCAAGGAATACTATGATGATTCTTTGCAGGTGGGAACACAGGCCTAGTAGGAGGAAGTGTACCTGTTTTTGATGAAGTGATTATCTCCATGGCCTTAATGAACCAAGTGGAAAGTGTAGACAGCTGGTCTGGTGTTGTAGTGTGCCAGTCTGGGTGTGTGCTGGAGGCTTTAGACCAGCATGTGGCAGAGCATGGTTTGATGGTTCCTCTTGACCTGGGTGCCAAAGGGAGCTGCCATATTGGTGGGAATGTCTCCACAAATGCTGGTGTGTCTTGTTTAGTTTCACAGAATTTCACCTTGTATGAAGTAGATGTTTAGTGCTAATAATTATATTTTTCAAAACTGGAATATCATAGGGCTAGCCAAAGAAATAAGATTCCTTTTTTTTGTGTGATTTCATTTTCTGATTCATGTTCATCATCATTTAATATAGCCTTCATTATTTAATAAATAGTAATGTGCAGGTGGACTCCGGTTATTGCGATATGGAAGCCTTCATGGATCTGTCCTGGGAGTGGAAGCAGTGCTGGCCTCGGGGGAAGTCATCGATTGCTTGTCCACCATGAAGAAAGACAACACAGGATATGACCTCAAGCATCTTTTTATTGGTTCTGAAGGAACACTAGGAATAGTTACCAAGGTTAGCAGGGCGATATATAATGGAATTCATGTGGATTTTGAGTCCGTGCAATGAATCTCTCATCCTGCCTTATTTGAAGTATAGAACATCTGTACTGACATTGGATTACAGCAATGAGTTAAATGAGTCACACCTGACAATATTTTCAGCTTGCCATCAATTGTCCTCCAAGGCCTACAGCTGTGAATCTAGCTTTTCTAGGCCTCCAGAGTTTTGATGATGTTCTCCAAACATTCAGAGATGCAAAGTCAAAACTGGGAGAGATATTAAGTTCCTGTGAGTTCATTGACAGAAGTTCCCTGGAGTGTGTGGAAGAAAACCTAAAGTTGAAGTCGCCAATTGAGCCGCATCCTTATTATATGCTCATTGAAACATCAGGTATTATATGACTGATTAATTAAATAGATTTTTAAAATTCTTTTTATTTATTAGTTTACTTATTTTCTATATGTGTTTATTTGTATTTACATATATATAAGTCATTGTGTTTATGTGCTGTATATGTGAGGCACTTAATTCAGGAAGTACAAAAGCACCAAATATAAAAAACTGAGAAAATGGTTTTCAAAATTTTATCTTTGAAACAATCCACGTGTTTTTGATAGATTATGCATGAAAAGTTAGCTGAATGTCTTGACTATGTAGTGAGCCCACTAAATATGTTACATATTATCACAGACTTCTCTCAGGAAACGACAGCCCCTCCTCACCCAGCAACAAAGCTAAGCAATACTTTGAAATATTAACCAATTAAGCGCTCCCAGAGGAGAGACTATGTATTTCTAAGATAGAAGAATGATTGGGGAATACAGAGGTATGCAGAACTCTTATCGACTTCCTGAAATAAGTGCATCATGTATGTTTTTTTAATTTTCATTTTTATTTTTTTTATTTGTCTAAAGAGAGACAGACACTTAATTGTATGGTTACCCACTGGTGAATGCTATTTCTGTATTCTTATGAACAGATTTTATTGCTGTAAATAGAATGAACATGAAAGTCAATTTCAGGATCTAATGGGGACCATGATGAAGAAAAGCTGAACACTTTTTTGGAGTATGTAATGACTTCTGGCCAGGTGACAGATGGCACTGTGGCAACTGAACCTTCAAGAATTCAACACATTTGGAGTCTTAGAGAAAGAATAGCAGAGTCCCTGATCGCTGATGGTTACACATATAAGTCAGTAGTTGTGTATGTCATGTGCTTGCTTGTATGTGGGTTGGTCCTGTATCATTTATGATGGCATGGAAAACAGTGGTGTTCACAGTAAGTTTGTGCTCCTTTGGTTAGAATATTGGTTTGGTTTATGCTTTGGGGGTTTTCTCTCTAGTAATATAATGAAAAACCTACTTCTGTTTTTGATGAATGATTTGGTAGTGGATTGTTATGTAAATGGAGTTGATGTGCCCCATAAGAATTAAGATGCTTGTATGCATGTGCACTTATATCAAGAGGAATAATGCACTTATATTTCATAAGTACAGGTAAGAGACCAAAGAAGGAATTTTCCCCCCGAGAATAATGCCCTGTCTTAGTTATTTAGAAATGCAGTTTATCCAATCCTGGAAATAAGGAAATATTTAAATATTCTTTTGCAATAAAGAAAATATTCATGTATTAATTTCTCCTTGCTTTCAACTTCACAAATTTGAAAATTATAATACCCCTTTATTGTTTAAGGATAAGAATTCCTTGATGGAATGTGGATTATAGTTATGCTGTGGTAGTAAATCTGGATTTACTAGTGAAACCTCATATTACAGGGCATTAATTTTCCTTCAAATACCGCAGATTTAGGTATATTGTCTTGTTGGAGTGTGATATATCAAAGCATATTTGCATGTTGTTTCATAATCTTAAACAATCATGTCAGTTTCTCCTGTGTAACATTAAGAAGTAGCTAAAAAGTAATATTTTTAGGGTCAGCTGTCTTTCTGGTTTCACTGACTTGATTTGTATGAAGTGGAGCTCTCAAGAGAAATGATATCCTCTGTAATGATGATGGAATTGCCTCTTTTTTTTTCCTTTTTAATTTTAAATATATACATTTTCCCCCACTTTCAATGCAGTAAATGGCTAATTGCTTTGCGTCTATTTTCTCTGCAGATATGATATTTCCATCCCCTTACCTCACTTCTATAAGATGGTAGAAGACATGAGAGAACATCTGGGCTCCAGCATTATTCGCTGTTGTGGATATGGACACATTGGTGATGGAAATCTTCACCTAAATATTACCAGCAAAGAATATGAAAAGGTATGAAATGTGTCTTTACAGCGTATGGAAGTATAGAAAATGTTCCTTTCTTGCATTCATTTCCACACCATTAACAAAATTTATTTTTCATCTGTAAAGGTGTATACTCAGTGAATCATGTTTTGTTGGTCTTTTACCCATCAATGGCACACCATTGTTCGCTCTCAACAGGAGATCCTCAGCCGCATTGAACCAACAATATTTGAGTGGACCGCAAGAGTCAAGGGAAGCATCAGTGCTGAGCATGGACTGGGCTTCAAGAAGAGGAACTACATCCACTTCTCGAAGTCAGATGGTGCAATAGGCCTCATGAAGCAGATGAAGAAGATCATGGATCCAAATGGAATACTCAATCCCTATAAAGTTTTGCCTGACAATTAGGGGCAGACAGTTCATCGTCTGATCTTTTTCTGCTTGCATGAACATGCTCAGGAGATTAATTTTTATGTGATTGTTGAAGTTGAGTTGTTTTCAGTACAATTTGCTACATTTGGTACAGTCAACTTTATTGCAATCAAATTTTTACCTCATTTTGTTTTATTTGCATTTGGATATATAACTTACAAAAGTAGAGAATAGTATGTGTATCATTTGAAATCATCAGCATAATGTACATTTTACCAGGGTAGAATGGAATGTTCCTAGATGATGTTAGAGATAATTTAAGGTTATTAATGAAGTTCTACTCTGAAAAACCAGCTTCACTTATGTCTGTGATGTAGTTTCTTAAAAGCATATTGATAATAAGTATTTATACATGTTTGCTTGATTTAATTTATTTCTGTGGATGATCCTTGAGCATTATTATGCTTAAATATAAAATTGTCATTCTGTAATAGTAAAATATATTGAGTACCAGTTATATGAAATATAATAATTGTTCCACAATGTACAGCTATTTGAAGTCTTTGAAAAAGGGAAATCCAGATTTATTTTTTCATAAGTAAATGACAAAAAATGAATTGTAATAAAAGCTTGCCTTTAAAGATGTAGAAAACAAAAGTTTTAGAATTTAATAAAAATAATTTGTAAATATGTGAACACCCAAAAATATGATATTTTTTCACCAGAGTTAACATGATTGTTTTAGTAACGAACCCTTTAGAGAAAGGAAGCAAAAAAATGTTTCTCCTTTCTTGAGTGTGAAACTAAAGCAAATACTTAAAAAAATAATATTGATGAGGTCCTTAGATGTTTGCTTCTCACTATCATGAGACACCATTGGATACTAATTGGAAACTCAGGAGGGTACTGTAGATGTTGTCTGGGAAATTCCAGAATAGTTAAGTCATGCTTTCTTACGTCTTGAGAGATTGTCTTGCCTGAAGCCTAACACAATTTTGGGGTCTTCATTTCAGTATAAAAATGTAAAAAGATGGGAAAACAAAAAACAAAAGCACAATTCAGTACCTTTCAATACCTTAATTTTCAATACCTTCTTCTGATGCAAAATTGATTATAATGAAGATAAAATAAAGATTCTGTAATGACTGAAGAAGTCTTTTTTGAGTAGGGGTAGAGGTAGGTAGGGGTGTGTTGTGTGTGTGTGTGTGGGGGGGGGGGGGGGGGTTCTGTGTGTGTTTGTGTTGTGCGCGCGTGTGTGTGTGAGAGAGAGAGAGAGAGAGAGAGAGAATGTGTGTGTGTGCCTAAGTGTTTGTCTGGGTAAGAGAGAGAGAGATACAGACAGACAGACAGAGCTTAGAAAGAAAAAGAAACAGACATTGCCAAATATACGAAGTGAAAATCAGTCTCATTTCAGGCGTTCCTGATATTCGGATTCCCCGACAGTCAAACAAATTATGGGTAAAATTATTGTTTGAGAATTTTTACAAACTAAAAGGGCAATCCAAAAATCTCTGAAAATTATATTTAAACATTGAATGATAAAGGGAAAAGATTCGCGAATATACTGATAAGACGTTGGTGCGCCCTGAGTGAGTGTGAGTGTGTGGGTGGGTGCGTGCGTGCGTGCGGGTGTGGGTGTATTTTTGTCTGTGTGGACGTGTATGATGTATGTGAGTGCGATGATGATATGATGCGTGTATGTGTAGACATGTATGTGCGTGCGTGTGCGTGCGTTTATGTGTGTTCTTGCCTGATAGGATGGTATTAACATCAACTTTGCTTCAGCACTTGGATGCGAAAACTCGACTTCCTTTACAGATATAGAGGAAGCTATACTGTCGGCTTTGATATTACAGCATAAGGAAATATAGAAAAAGGGCAGTGAGATTTCATACAATATATTTAAGGCTGAACTCCGAATTACCTATCATCATAGCTATTAATCAATTGAAAAGTGATACGGCAAAGTACTTTAAACAAAATGTAAAAGGTAAAAAAAAAGACATATTTAATCGTAATCAGATTCTTACGCAATGTATGTAATAAACTGCATACACTGATACTAAAGAATAAATATAAGTTGACATAACCCATATGTCAATCATTAGCTTTTCTCTACGAAAATGCCTTTGCTTACTTCATTTCGCAAATTAGATAAAACATAATAATCCTCATTCAAATCAATCTAAGTGTAAGCCTTTCTTTCGTTTTCAAACCAATCGCCGTGACTATAGGAACCAAGAAAGTGTGCTTGTGTGTAAAACTTTGGATGCCTCTCGTTCCTTACACGGTTATTTGATTTAAAGAGCTATTTGGTATCCGGACGAGAAGCCTATGATGGATTCCTTGGTCGCTATCCCTATTGCTATGGCTACTGGAAAGACTGACCTTGAAAGACGCAACGGTACCAAGGAAACAGCTATGAAGGTGTTTAACCGGGGATTTGATGCGATCCGACCAAGAGCCAAGAGAAGACCGTCAATGGCACAACAGGAACAGTACAGCAACAACAGGCGGTTAACACAAATTACCAAGGCTACAACCAGGCCTATGCACAGGGGTATGGAGCTTTACATTACCAAGGATGGGACTATCCAGCTCAACAGGGCGGTTATGGTTACGGACAGCAGGGTTGGGGGGCTTATGGAAGTTATTATGGTCAGAGATAAGAATGAAATCATTCTTTTAATTCTACTCCTTTCGAGCGTTTCACAGATATAAGTAATCCCCCATGTGTAAAGTATGCTTGTATGTTGGAATGCTTTGTCAACAGGATTTCCAAGTTGTCTAGGACACTGCATCACTTTTTGTTGTATGGTGAGTAATCATAAAGTTCTTGATATTTACTTAAGCCTTTAAAGTTTGTATAATTGTATTGCGTCTCATTATGATGAACTTAGTTAATATGTCTTGAAGTAAGATGGAATAAAGTATGTCTTTGGCAATTCAGTAATACTGTGAATAAATGTGATTGCAAAAGTTTGTCTGCTTGAGACCATAGAAACCAGAGAAACTGTTTGAAATCTGCAATTTTAACTTTTTGCAGGGAAGTTAGATGAAATGAAAATTAAAAATAACTTGTTGAGGTAAATTCAACTAATAATAAATGACAATCCTTATTTTATATCAAACACGATGAAATAAGAATGAAATAAGAACTCAAAAATAAAGAAAATATATATACATATACTCGAAACATTTCTTTAAACACAACTCTATATCTTTGAAATAGGGTAACTGTTTGTCAGCGTAATTCCTTCAGTTACTTTTTAGCACATTAACTCACATGACCAAAATCTCACTCCCTAATATACCGTTAACAAACAAATCGAACTCTTCGATATCTGCTAAGTCAGGACAAAAAAACATTTTCTCATGTCCAAAACCGAAACTAAAAAAAGAAAAAGAAAAGCGTCATATCTCCATACCCTAACAAAGCCCTCCTACCACAGAAACACCGTCTTGCACAAGGTCTTTCATTCAGAAAAGCCTGAATCCTGCCCCGCCGCCCTCCCTCTCGGAACTCCGGGAGGAGGAGGAGGAGAAGGAGGAGCTATCGTAGAACGAGGAAATGAAGCTGCCGGGAGAGGAGTTGGTGCTGGGAGAACCACGTGTCCCGCCGAAGCCGAAGTTAAAGTAGCTTCCTCCACTGTCGCTTTCTTGAGATGGCTGGGAGTCCCCGAAAAGTGAGAAGTTAACACCGGAACTTTCCTCGCTGGTATTGTCAAAACCTAAAAAAATGACAGGATATTATGGGGAATAAAGAAGGCGAATTGAACGAAGAGACTTATAAAAGTAATCCTAAACACAGCACTAAAGACTTGATTATGCTGGAAAAGCAGCCCATAATATTACACAAATAACAGTGTAAGGGATAAAACGGTTCACAAATATGAAGAAACACTGCAGTTAGTGGTATAGTTTTGTCGTAATAGGTAACTGATATTCAGCTTGTTTTCACAGAGTTACGTCTACAAACCATCCGCGTCCTCTGGCGAACCAAAGAGACGAAGAGCTCCGGGCGTCCCTCTGCCAGAATCCGAACTTTCTCCTAACATGAAGTTGAAGGAACTCCCTGGCGAGGTAGGCTTCGGGTGCCTCGAACTGGCGCTGCTCGACGACGTGTCGACGCACATGGAAAATGTTAAAAGGTCTTTGTGGACCTCTGCAGTGCTAGAAGGAGATGAGTGTGTGAATGCGGTGTTGCCTTCTGAAGGAGAGGTATTGCTTGAAGGAGCAGTTGTTACGGCCGAATCGTTTCTGCTAACTAGCGAAGCATAATGGGAAGTTTCCACACTTCCAATGAAAGACTTATCAGCCTGCAAAAATGAAACAGATTTACACTGGAAAAAAAAAAAAAAAAAAAATCACAATCCCATTTACTGCCACACTGATTACACCACAATAATCTATTCTATGGAAAGGTGTATTAAGAATTCAAGGGAATCATATGAGCATATGTGCAGCTGGACTATCCGAAAGCAATAGCAGTGATACAGCTTATCAGTTCTATTGTCAACATGATTTGTTCGACTCTCTGTCTTAAGCAGCCCTTCTGACCTGGTCAGTGCCGGATGTTCTAGTGCCATCAGCATCTCCATCCGCTTCCACGATAAAGCCCTGTGAAGACTGGAATTGAAGGCTGTTCATCTGCAAAAAAGAATATATTACTTGTCTGTGGGAATCCACGTTGGTATATTAAAAGGTGTTTTAAATAAATATATTTTTTCTTTCCGTAATCCTAAAGTATTAAAAGTGATACATAAACCACTTCGCTTTCAGTAATTCCTGGACTTTCTTTGCAATAATGTCAGCCCTTTGTTTTGAACAACAACCTTTCCCCTAGCTACGATATCTCTAAATCAGTGGTTTCCAACTTTTTTTTATTACTATGACCACCGACGGATATATAATAATCTCCATGGCCCCGTTCAATGCTTGTCAACTTTTCAGATTCAGTTAGTACTAGTTATGAAGCGTAATGATGTCAATTGCTATAGGACACGGATACTATAAGGAAAGATTCTAATTTATTGATATTTAAGAGAAATATCTGTAATTACTTTATGCTAGACGAAATTCTGTTTAATTCGAAGTCATATTTTTCATATTGCTCCATAGCGCCCCACAAAAAGTATTCCATGGACCATGTCCCCTAGGTTGTGAACCCCTGCTCTAAAATGTCTATTATTAAACACGATTTTTTCACACTTATCCCTAATTTCGACGCCATCCTCTTAACTCCTCATGATACATTTTTCCTTACCATTTGGCCTGATGCTTCCTCAGTTTCCAACTCCATGTCTTCTAAAAAACCTGCCTTGTTTAGGTCTGAACACTCAGGTGTAGTAGTATATTCTGTTGTGTAATCTTTCTTGGATATCTGTGTCTTTCCTGGAGTCGATGTTAGAATGGTGTTGGATCGGCATTTCGGGCTTTCCCCCACGCCTGATTCTTGTTCCATTTCTAGCTCTCCTGTTGTAGACTTCGGTTGCGGGCCTGCTACGTATTCCTGTGCTTGATCTGAAACTACTAAGAAGGGATAATATAAAACACAAATAACAAAAGTGACGAATAGTCATCACTTGCAACCACGATGAATAAGTAATGTTTTACATACTGTAATGGTACTGTGAATTTCTCTCTTGAGGTCGTTCTGAGGAACTTCAAAGAAAAACTAGATATATTTTATTTAATATTTTCACTAATAACCAATTAGTTTAAAAGAGAAAAAAAAAACGCTCTGTAAATATGTGAAATATAATGCCCACCTCCAAGATGCTGCTGACTGTGGCTCTTGGCTGTAGACGAAGAAATCTTACTCTGTGCCATGTCTGACTGCCTAGATGATTCAGATGGCCCCATTCTCTGTGAGAAAAGCTAGAGGATAGTTTAGTTTTAATATTGCCTCTAAACCATGTGTGTTAATTATAACAGTTATGCAAATGATTATTTAATACGGTATATTATCAACATATATATCACAGACATAAATAATATGCAGACAGGAGTTGACTGGGAATTGACGCTTTCTTACAGTTATATAAATTATACTTGTTATGGCATAATATCAACAATGTACAATGTGTGACACACAGAATATGCAAACCTTAGGAGGAGTTGGCGCTTTTTTAAAGGTAAACTCGGGGCTATTGAGGAGCGACGAGACATAAGCCTGTCGGACCTCTTTGGTAGGCAGCTGCGAGGGTGACGGAGGTGTGTACCAAATGTCTTCCGAACTACTACTTTGGTTCTTTTCATCTAAAATTGGTTATTGTACCATGTAAATTATACATACTAATAACTAATGTGAGAATCTTGCATCGCATTTCCTGCCTAGACTACTTATTAAATAAAGACCTGTGTATCGAGGCTTATAGATTTATCAAATTTCTTTAGGGTCTTTTTTATTGCCATCCATACGAGAAAAAAGTCCTGGCAGCACTTACCCATTGACACTTCGGTCTCTGTGATGGATGACAACTCGTTCACAAAGTTTGAGGTCGATGTAGGTACCCTGGAACCAGTTGAGCACCGGGGTCGAAAGCCAGATGAAATGGAGGGTGAAGGAGTGTTGGCACACGAGGGGCTTCTACCGACCGAAACCTGGTCTGGGGTCGATTCCGAGGTGTTGGACACGTCTGCCAAGTGTCCCGAGTACCCAGAAAAACTCTGATGAGAGGAACTTGCCACCGTCCTGTGTTCCTCCTGAGAGCTGGTGGAATCTTGGCCATAGGATGTGCAGGGGCGGCTAGGGGTGCCATCTCTAAGAATAGAACCCGTGGGAAGATGACCCTGCTTCACCTTGGAGCTGAACACCAAATTGGGTACTGAGGGAGGAAGACTTTGGGCAGAGGCTCCATATCTAGAATCCTTGGCTGTTACAGGCAAACTGGCCTGTCTGCTAACTAGTATGGGACTCTGACCTAGGTTGAGTAATGGAGCGGGCGTCGAGCTGGGACCAGGCTGGGAGGTGACACGATCACCATCTGAGGATTCTTCAGTGACACTTTGAGTATCCGGAGTGTCCTCGCTTCTGGAGTCTCCAGATGAGACGGTAAGATGAAACTTCTTCCTGAACTTAGACGCCTGCCAAAATATTCATCATTGTGAGTAGGAAAATAGACAAATTTAAAGCCCTGAAACCCTTGACTGCTCTACCCAAAAAAAAACACAGACCAGACGCCCCGCAAAATACAAAAAGGCCTCACCTTGAGCAGATCGAGGCCAGTATCAAAGCGATTGGGACGAGGTGTGTCACGTCTGACCTTGCCTGTAGTCTGCGCTGTCAACTTCACCTCCGGCTGCTGCAAGGAATAAACACTCAATACTGGAATGACCAATGGGGGCGTTCTTTGCACGTTTTCAAAAGGATTTCACACAGCTGTTTTGTACACTGTATCAGCCATATTGTCTTTTCCTAGTCTTTTGTGTAACTACGGATAAAAGTCACCTCGGGACCGAAGTAAGATAACCTCTGTAATAAGAAAAAATCACAATATTCGAACACTTTAAGGTAATATTCGAAACATGCTCGACAAGTTCGTTATTTTAGGGGGGGGGGGCGTAACAGCACAAACAAGCAAGTCACAAATCACAAACACTAAAAGAAGGAGGGAGCAGGGCCACTCATCACTGTACAAACCTGCGATACTTTTTGCAAGGACGAAAGCCACCTTTGCGGGCGTGGCGAGGGTTGTTCTGACTTCGCTCGAGCCGTGGACTTTTCTTTCTCTAGGGCGGCCTCCCTTTCCTTCCTTGCTGTCAGCTCTAATTCCTTCTGCTGGATTGCTTCTCTTAGTGACCTGATAAGTGAGTCAATTTAATTAACATGTATATATGGATATTAGTAAATGCACATGCTCATTATACAGTACTTACATGTGTATGTGTATATATATATATGGATACTTAAAATTCTCTCTCTCTCTCTCTCTCTCTCTCTCTCTCTCTCTCTCTCTCTCTCTCTCTCTCTCTCCCTTCTCCACCGGCTTCCTACCTGATTTGGGTTTCCTGCTGCCGTTTCTTGTCCCATTCTTCACCCAGCTTCTTCCGTGACTTGAGGAGCACCACGATAATCTCCCGAAATTTCTTCCAGTCTGAAGGGACAAAGAGTTATAAGAGTTGGAGGGTTTTTAATTTACTATTATCTTAATTTTTTTAGATATACATAACAAGTGAATGCTGTTGTTTCCCTGATCGTAAAAGATACCTGACATAATTACAAAGGGTTATTATAATTACCATGAGTTATCTGTAACGAGACAGATAAAACAACTGACTTACCGTACCTGTTTGACAATGCTGCTATTTAATACGTCTTTACCTGTAACGTGGCATCTTAAACCACCTTTATTCAAGAACTGGAATCCAAAGTCGTAAAGCTAAAAACGCTGGTCAACATTTCCTACCTGCAACCTCTAAAACGCTACAGACCTTCAAGTCCTTTCCGTTTGTTTTCCTTTTCCAAGCTGGATACTCTGGAAGCAGCCGCGCTCTTTCTTTCCGCCAGCTGGCTCATCTTAAGCTTCAACTCCAGCTTTGTATTGTCCACTAGACGTCCAGCGTATCGGGTCTGTGTAGGTCAATGATTATATTAAGAGAATGTCTACTGATTTAAGGCAGTGGTTCCCAACCCCATGGTCGCGAGGGGTTTTCTGAAGGTCACCGAAGATTTTTACAGAAAAAAGAAAAAAAAATCCACAGCTGGACACCCAAATAAAATAAATTAACACTTATTTTCTCTCCCAGGTTCAGATTTATTGAAATTAATTCTGTTAGTAATTTAAACCTATACAAATAGAATGACATAAGTTCTAAAACATGAAAACAGTTGGATTTATCACATATTCTGGGCTGCTAGTCCAGGTGAAGACCGAAATCAAAAAGCGACAATCGAAAAAGGTTGAGAAACACTGATTTAAAGGAACTCTTGCAGGGTTGCAATGGAAGCATACTATGAAGCTGCTGTTGTTTGATGTAATTCATTTTCTTAACCTGGGCTGATTGTGGCTGTGGGGGCTTAATGGGGTGTAACACAAATATATCTACCATTTACATTCTTTGAAGCTATCATTAACGTCGGTCTTCCATAACAGCATTAGAGTTAACGAAAGCACACTCCTATACTACAAGAATACAGCCTCGGAGACACCTTCCCCCTAGAACTAAAAATACAATTAGAATACTTTCTTCTTCCCCTCCCGCTTCACAAACTCGTCTATGCTCCTCCTCTCTTACCTTCACTTTCCCCTCTTACTCTACCCTCCCCACTTAATCCCACTTACCCTTACTTCCGTCCCCTCTTACTCTCACTTCCCTCCCCACTTAATCCTCCCTCCCCACTTACCCTTACTTCCGTCCCCTCTTACTCTCACTTCCCTCCCCACTTACCTCCACTGGTCCCCTCTTACTCTCACTTCCCTCCCCACTTACCCTTACGCGTCCCCTCTTACTCTCACTTCCCTCCCTCCACTTACCCTTACTTCCGTCCCCTCTTACTCTCACTTCCCTCCCCACTTACCCATACTTCCGTCCCCTCTTACTCTCACTTCCCTCCCCACTTACCCTTACTTCCCTCCCCTCTTACTCTCACTTCCCTCCCCACTTAATCCTCCCCCACACCCACTTCTTCTTACTTTTACCCTTACTTCCCTCCCTCTTACTCTCACTTCCCTCCCCACTCCCTTACCCCCTCTTACTCTCACTTCCCTCCCCACTTAATCCTCCCATCCCACTTACCCTTACTTCCGTCCCCTCTTACTCTCACTTCCCTCCCACTCCTTACTTCCCTCCACTTCTTCCTCCCCACTCTTCTCCTCCCTCCCACTTACCCTTACTTCCCCCCTCCTCACTTCCCTCCCTCTACCCTTACTTCCCTCCCCTCTACGCCGACGTCCCCTCTTACTCTCACTTCGCTCTTACTTCCGTCCCCTCCTAATCCACCCTCCCTTCTCACCCTTACTTCCCTCCCCACTCTACCCTCCCCTCCTACCCTCACTCCCCTCCCCACTCAATCCACCCTCCCCTCTCACCCTCACTTCCCTCCCCACTCAACCCACCCCCCTCTTACCCTCACTTCCCTCCCCTTTTAATCTACCCTTATCTCCTTTCCCCCGATTTCTCCATTTTCTTTGCGTCTCTCGGCCTCTTACCCTGATCTGCTCGAACCGCGTGAGGTATGATCGATGCAGCGAGTCCAGCCTCTGCCTCAGCGCCTCGTGTTCCTCCTGCAGGCGGGTTTTCTCCGTCTCTGCGACCCGGATCTGTTCCCGCATCATCGCCACGCTCGATGTAAGGCTGCGGGGTGGAGGGGGGGGGAGAAACAAATATATATATATATATATATTATATATATATATATATATATATATATATATATATATATATATATGGACGTATGTATATATGTGTGTTTGTGTATGTGTACATGTGTGTATATGAGTATATGAGTATGTGTGTATGTGCGTGAGTGTGTGCGTGTGTGTTTTGTGTGTGTGTGTACGTGTGCGTGGGTGGTGAGCGTGTGCATGTATTCGTATGAACAGAACTCTATAAAAAAAAAAAAATAGCAGAAAAGGAGAGGCCGAGAAACATCCGAGAGCCTTACTTGGCCACCACGGCTTCTTGGTGGGGGTCTCTCGTCGCCTTGGCCTGCAGGCGCTCTTTAATCTGTTCTATCTCTGCTTTTATCTTCTGTTGCTCCCTGTTCCCCTGTGCGATCAAGCCCTCCAGAGCTGCGAGATGATAATAAACGAATTTGCGTAAAAAAAAAAGTTCTGTCCTTAATACGGCGGAAGTATTAAGGACAAGAGAAGAAAGAAAAGGTACATTTTTTTCTAATTTTGACACAGACTCTCTACTCTAAACGTTTACATTAGAATACCATGCAGAATAAGTAAATGGAAATAAATGAATGTGTAAATGAAAATAGAATGATAGAAACACAAAGAGATACGAAGAAAGACATGAAAAATCAACAAACATGAAAAATCAACAGACATAAAAAAACAAGCATAAAAAATCAACAAGCATGAAAAATCAACAAAGACATGAAAAGATATGAATAAAGACACAAAAAGATGCGAAGAAATACATGGAAATGGACAAAAAAATGAAAAAAAATAATAAGACAACAATAAACCAACAGTCACACAAAATTAAAAGCACAAGAATCAAACAAAACAAAACAAAAACAAAAACACAAACATTCACACACCCAAAGACCCCCCCCCCAAAAAAAAAAAAAAAACACCCCATATATAGCAACACCACACGTACTATCACAAGCCTGGCTGTGTTCGGCGTGCGAGCGGCGCATCCTGGCGAAGACGGAGGATAAGGCGTCCACCGACCCGAGGTTAGGACCTTCTCCATCGCCCCCCGCCGAACATCCTCTCTCCAGCAGGATTGAGTCCATTTCCCTTCCGTGTGTTCTGCAGGAGATGACGGGGAGATGTTCAAGTTTCGAAGTCCGAAAGGCTGATCGACGGATGTGCTAGGGAGGTGGAGATATTTTCGGATACATAGGGAGAGAGATATAGGATAGGGAGAGTGAGATGCGGAGACGGAGGATGTAGGGTAATGAAGGTAATAGAGGCTTGCCGGATGGGTAGAGTTTGTTGGAAAGAGAGAGGTAGATAAACGAGTGGATGGGGGTAGGTAACAAGATGGTAATATATAAATAACGAGAGAGGCAGAGAAATATAATATGGTATAGAGCACTGGTTCCCAAAGTAGGCGGTACCGTCCGCCTTGGGGGGTTGTGGAAATATCAGGGGGGGGGGGTTGAGGCAAAAGATGGGTGACCGGATGGCATTAGGAACAGTTAATAAATAACTTTTCGCTTTCGCGTAATTGAGAAACAAAATATGTCATAAGCATTAAGGTAAGGGATACATCTTTGTATTTAAGCTAGTACGTAAGCTGTACACACACATACACATACACACACACACACACACACACACACAACACACACACACACGTACACGCACACACACAACACACACACACACACGCACACACACACACACACACACACACACACACACACACACACACACACACACACACACACACACACACACACACACACACATATATATATATATATATATATATATATATATATATATATATATATATATATATATATATATATATATATATATATATATATATATATATATATATATATATATATATATATAATATATATATATATATATATATATATATATATATATATATATATATAAATAATGAGAGCATACACATTAATTTGTTGTGCATTATCGTGAGCATATTGATGTTTATCTCATCGATGATAAGTTTAAACAAAATATTCAATAAACACGATTCGAGCAATTAATCTGAGAATATATATATCTATACTTAAAATTATCAATCTCTCTCTCTCTCTCTCTCTCTCTCTCTCTCTCTCTCTCTCTCTCTCTCTCTCTCTCTCTCTCTCTCTCTGTATATGCGTGTGTGTGTGTGTGTGTGTGTGTGTGTGTGTGTGTGTGTGTGTGTGTGTGTGTGTGTGTGTGTGTGTGTGTGTGTGTGTGTGTGTGTGTGTGTGTGTGTGTGTGTGTGTGTGTGTGTGTGTGTGTGTGTGTGTGTGTGTGTGTGTGTGTGTGTGTGTGTGTGTGTGTGTGTGTATACACATATACAGGCACGCACACACGCACATAGACATACTCGAGAAATAAAGCATTAATAAAAAAAAATTATGTAGGCCTGTTTACTAAACGATCGGCAAAGTAATCGAAAGAGAAATTAAAAATAATGACAGGAAATGATCTTATTTCATACGGAATATTTACAATTTGGCCACTAAGAATTCCCTTGTAAGCCTACATTTCGCCGTATGTACAAACCCTATTAAAATACATCTTTGAATCTTATCATTATCAATTTAACAACATCCTTAGGCTATAAAAACTGTAGACCAAGAAAGGCATAATTCAATGCAGAAAAAAACAGCAATGTTTAACGTATCTTGTGCAGAAATAAGATTTTTTTACTCATTTACACGGACTTTATGATAATCACACAGATTTACTGCATCTAACGACACGTAAGCCCCTAATATTCACTAATTTTAAAGGGGAAATTACTGAAAATAGATCCGCTGAACAGATAAACACCAATTTTTTTTTATTCCCTTTTAATTCTTTAAAAATCAGGCCACCAATTCAACCCAAAACGTACCTGATCTAAAACTATTACCCTTAATTATCCTTTGATATCGTTAATAAGTAGGAATCCGTAGTTTAAAAGGAGTTTTTGAGAGTCGGAAAACAAATAAGATCGAACCTTTTCAGAAGTCGTCAGCCAAACCACGGAGGGATACGAGACTAATTTTGATTTATTTTACCCGGGGAAAATCTAACATAGATTATATCTGATTTTTTTTAACTGCTTTGATCTTAAGATAAAATAACATGTATATAGTAGCTATGAATGTTAAATGCTTATATGTGAACCGTTTAATTAGATACATTAAATCTGCCTAAAATTATTTGTGAAATATATTTTAAGGATATAAATATGCATTTGTGTCTATAACTTCACGTGAGGACGTGGTTTAATCCTTATTTTATGAATAAGATTATATAAACGTGTGTTTGTGTGTTATGCTTGTTTCTGCGCGCGCGCGCGCGCGCGTGTGTGTGTGTGTGTATGTATGCCTATTACGCATGCGTTTTTCCTGGAAACAAACAAAACATATGATTTCGAATAAAGACTATCAATTTTACTTGCGGCCGAGGTCAAGGAACAGAATTCAAATATTACTCCTATCGGACTTTTCTCATTCCGCCATTTTTTTTTTTTTTTTTTTTTTTTTTTTTTTTTTTTTTTTTTTTTTTACCAGAAGAGTATTTCCCAACGCGTGATTTTGAGTGGGCGGATATTTCTCAACTAAACCACGACTTTGAATCTGAATTGAATTAACTGATTTTATCCTGAGCTTCGTTATCGTTTGTTTACTTTTCACTAACACTAGGTAGGGAGCACAAGAAACGGGAAAAAATCATATATAAATGGTAAGTGGTTCAATTCTCAATTCCTTCACGTATTACTGTTTATGGCCACTAATTATGAGGCGAACACAATATCCAGCTGCAGAAAGAAGTGTAAAGAAAGAAGTTCGCGTCCCCTTTGCTGGCGACGATAAGCTCCATTACGGATATAATGGTCACCTGGCGAGGATTTCCTTTCTTTTTCGTATATTCGCCGTGGAACATGGCCGGATATCGGGAATTGCATTTTCGGATACCGCGGGATCAATGAGAGAGGGGAGAGAAGATTAGTACATGAATTAATATCGCTGACATTAGTTCCGGTACAAGATGCTGATTTTGGGTGATAGAGCTATTTCATTCCTGTTATTGGTAGGATTTTTTAAAAGGGCCAAGGTAAAGAAATTAAGAACTTATGAATACTGTTCCTTGTTTCTTTACATATGCGAACTACTGAGAACAAGTAATTAATAGTAAAAGATGGTTTTACTCTACCTAAAACATGAAAACAACAGTATTGAGTATTCGTACAGTGACGGACAAAAGTCTTTTAATGAATCGAAGCTTCGAATCTGCCTTCTATATAAAAAGTGTGGTATGAACCTGATGCTCGAAACGGAATTCGAAACAGTTTTGACAAGAGTTTTGACCGTGACTGTACCAGGAAAGGGCAAATGTGCTATATAGCAAAGGGAAATATGCAGTGACGTCTTAAAAAAGGATCATGCGAAAAGAAATAATGTGGAAAGAAAAATATAAAAGGACGTTAGCGCATATTTACCCAGCCGGAAACGTGTCTCGAAGGAGCGACAGGGAATTATTATCCGCCCTCTCAAAGCCACACGTGAGGAAATGACCGCCCACCCAAAGCCACACGCAGAGAAATACCCGTCCGCAGAAATCCACACGTAGAGATACCCGCCCGTACAAATCCACGCGTAGGGGAAATGACCGCACACACATATGCACATACAAGGAAATGACCACCGACGCATATCCACATATGAGGAAATGACCACCCACACATATCCACATATCAGGAAATGACCACCCACACATCCACATGTAAGGAAATGACCACCTACACATCCACATATAAGGAAATGACCACCCACACATATCCACATATAAGGAAATGATCAACACATATCCACATATAAGGAAACGACCATCCACATATGAGGAAATGACCACCCACACATATCCACATATAAGGAAACGACCATCCACATATGAGGAAATGACCACCCACACATATCCACATATAAGGAAACGACCATCCACATATGAGGAAATGACCACCTACACATATCCACATATAAGGAAATGACCATCCACATATGAGGAAATGACCACCTACACATATCCACATATAAGGAAATGACCATCCACATATGAGGAAATGACCACCTACACATATCCGCATATAAGGAAACGACCATCCACATATGAGGAAATGACCACCCACACATATCCACTTATAAGGAAACGACCATCCACATATGAGGAAATGACCACCCACACATATCCACATATAAGGAAATGACCGCACCAAACAGCGAGTAGAAAAATACCCGCCCACACGAATCCACGCGTAGGTAAATACCCGCCCGCACAAAAAAATGACACCACCCTTTTTATATATAACAGTAAAGGGATATGTGTGACCAGAGAATAGCCCTCGCGTCAATGGAAACTTGATCTGCGGAGGATAAACCGTTACGTCTAACCTACTTATTAAAAAAGCTGATCTTTGAGTCTTTTTAATGGGAGTGGATGGGACTCTATGCCGATAAAAGAAAAACAAAAACGGAAATGGCTGACAGAAAAGCCGTATCGCATACATACATGTGTGTGTGTAGGTGTGTGTAGGTGGGTGGGTGCGCGTGTGTGTGTTTTTTTTGTGTGTTTGTTTGTTTGTTTGCCTTTGTGTGTGTGTGAGTGTGTGTGTGTGTGTGTGTGTGTGTGTGTGTGTGTGTGTGTGTGTGTGTGTGTGTGTGTGTGTGTGTGTGTGTGTGTGTGTGTGTGTGTGTATGTGTGTGTGTGTGTGCGTGTGTGTGAACATATACAGATGTATATTCTTCCGCTCTACACACACACCAACACACAAACTTTCATCTCACATCTAGCCTTTTTTCTCCATTTCCTAAGGCAACTAGGAGGGGGAAAATACTGTCGTAAACACTTATCATATCCGTTTTCAAGTGAGAGATATCCAGTTTACTCAAGGTGGAGCTCCTCCCCCCTTCTCCCCCCCACTTGTCCCCCACCAACCTTTTCCCTACAGCGTATAATGGGAAGAGGGAAGTGACGGTTACAAACAACTATGTTATCTTATCGGTTTATCGCTGGGGTATCAGTTATCAGCAGGATCTTCACTTTCTGTCGGACTTACTTCTCGATCTATGTTAACATGTCCAACAGGGGCAGGTAGTAAATTTAGCTTCAAAGGAAAAAAATATTATTATGTTTGAGAGTGGAAAGGGGAGGCAAACATCATATTAAGTCAAACGCCAAGCTTGGATTTTTGTTGTTGCTGTTATTAACGTTCTGTAATATTTCGTGGGTTTCGTATTTTTCTTGTTGTTGCTTTTCTCCGCCTCTTTATTCTTCTACAATTTACTTTTCTTCTTATCCATCGCCTTTCGCTGTATCTTTTTCGCTTCATTTTCTATCTATCATTTGCTGGGAAAGAAATATCACGTATTCTTTTCTTTACCATACAACTCATACTCTTGCTCTCTCATTCATCAGTCTTTCTGTTGGCTTCACAGTCTGGTCAGAGATTCCAAGCTGGCGCAGTTAGGAAAGAATGACGTTATCACACGCCATTCTGAGTGAGTCATAGCCCGCGTCCCCAACATCCTCGGGCAGAATACCGAGATCGGAGGCAAGGCACTTCGATCGCCAGAAGGAGACCCAAAAGTCACACACGAGCCTGGGTCCTCCTCCTCCTCCTCCTCCTCCTCCTCACGGACGAGGGGACAAAGGAGGAGGAACACGAAGACAAGTAACAAGATGCCTGGGGATCTTAGATGTCAGTCTCACGGGAAGAAATTACGCGAAGAGGCTCTGCTAGGTTATTGATCACGCTTTGAAGAGGAATGCCAAGACTCTCAGACCTTCTGCTCTCTGAAAGTTGCAAAAAAAGTTGCAAAGTATATATAGTACGTGATGCTGTTCTGTGTCACTGATTTTTGTTCAAAAGCTGAAAAAGAGGACAATGTATTTCTTCCAAACTTACAGAATTTGTAAAATATATCCTTGTAAATTGTAGCGTTATATATCTTAATTAATAGATATCATCACCTTCAATTACTGATTTTCATGTAGGTGCATTAAGACAAAGACTCGTACCTGCCTTGCTTATCGCGTGTGCAGGCCAGGTAACCTGAATTAACGCAGGATTGGTAACTCTACCGATAAGATAAAGGCCGATAACCATTCCCCTAACAGTTCTACATGATACTTCGCCTTCGACGGGCCCTGGGCACTCGCGTTGAATCAAGAACTGCCCATTTTATTCATCGTACAAGCTTAACGCGGTGAGTTTTGACTGCTGAGTTCGTGAGAGGGGCAAGCAGGATTTACTCACTTCACTCACCAAACTGAACGTCAGAGTGAGTGAATGTACACTGCCTTGACTCACCATACGGAATCTAACGCATTCAAAATTCGACTTTCGAGTCATCAGAGTGAAAGAGGATTGACATAGGTCACTATTCATACAAAAATTAAATGTGTTTTTTCAGTGTTGATTCCTTCATATCTGATCAAAATTAAGTGGGGGATACAGCGCTAAAAATATGTCCTTAATTGACCAATATTTGAAAACCTAATTGAACAAGATCCAATAAACCATTAAAATAAGATTTCTGCTAAACTTCAGCCATATTTGCCAATCAATATTTCCGAAGTAATTATTGGAAAACGAGTTAGTGAAGTTCACTTTGTTTTGCTCCCTACAGGATTCCAGAAAATGGGGTACGACTTCGGAGAAAGGAAGGTAAAGGAAGTTTATTTTGAGTGGTGGCGTCTTTGCTGCTGATAATTATTCCATTATTATCATTATTATTATCAATGTTGTCCTCGTCATTATTATTATGATGATGGTGATGATGGTAATGATAGTTATGATAATGATTATGATGATGGTGATGATGATGATGATGGTGGTGGTGATGATGATGATGATGATGATGATGATTATGGTAATGATGATTATCATTAATGTTTTCGTCGTGATCATTATAAATGATATACTATCTTTATTATCACTGTTATCATCATCATTATTATAAGTATTATGCTATTATCATTGTTATCATTATCACAATTTTAAGTATTATGTTGCCATTATAATCATTGTCATGATTATTTTCATCACGATTGTCACTAAAATTTTAATTGAATTAATTATTAATTTGAATTTTGATTAGAATCATAATTATTATGATTATTACAATTTATTATACTTGTTATTATTATCATTATCAATATTATTATTATCATTATCATCTACTATATTATCATTATTATCAATATTATGATTATGCAATTATCATAATTATCACTATTTTTATTATTATTGCTGTTTTACTGTTATCAATTACTACATCATCATCATCATCATTATTATCATCATCACATTGTTGTTGCTATTGCCTCCGCCAAAGAGGTGATATTTTTGGTAGCGTTGGTTAGCTGATTAGCAGAAAAATAATAAGTTATGAATAGATTTTTTTTTACCAGAGGTGTGTCTTAGCCCGACTGAGATGCCATAACAAGAAAGAGGTGATTTTAATGTAATTCTTCAAGTGCGAAGATTTTTATTGCACCAGTGACTCTGTTGCCTTGGCGGAGGTATGCGCTCTCTGAGTGATTCTTGTTATCATCATTATCATCATTATTAGCATTATTATTAGTACTATTATTATTATTGTTCTTGTTATTATTATTATTATTGTTATTATTATTATTATTATTATTATTATTATTATTATTATTATTTATTATATATTATTATTATTATTATTATTATTATTATTATTATTATTATTATTATTATTGTTATCATTATTATCATTATTATGTTATGATGATTATAATTTTTACTATTGATATTATTATTACTATGATCATTATCATTACTATTATTATCATAATTTTTTTGTCGTTATTACCGTACGTTACTTATCGTTATTATCATTATCATTATCATTAATGTTGTGATGGTTATTATTAGCATGATGATAAGTATTACAATGATAATAGTTAGTATTATTATCATTGTTTCATTTCAGTTACTATTATTTTTATCATCATTATTATTATTATCAATTTCAGTATTATTATTATCATTATTATTATTATTATTATTATTATTATAATCATGATCATTATTATTATTATTACTACTATTATTATTATTATTGTTATTATTATTCTAATTATAATGATGTTTATTATTATTATCATTATTACTATTTCTGTTACGATTATTACCATTATTATTATTGTTGCTATTATATCTTTGTTATCATCATCATCATCATCATCATTTTCATTATCATTAAGTGATCAGCAGCGTTGTCTACAACATCGTTAATATCATTTTTGCTATTATCGTTGCAATTCTCATTTCAGCATTACTATTATTATCATTGTTATCGTTGCCATCATTACCATTGCTCTTGCTATCGTCATTATTGTCATTAATATTGTTATGGACATAATGATCAATTGTATTATTGTTGTAGTCATAACTTTTATTATGATTACAATTCTCTCCTTTATCTCCATTAACGTCTCCATAATCATTATCAACAATATTTGTCACAATCGTAGTTCTTATCAGTGCCCTTATAAATTTTATCAATTTTATCGTATTTGTCATTATCACAGTTGCTGTTTTTGTTTGTTTGTTGTTTGTCTTTATTATGGTTATATTTATTGTTAAGCATTATCTGTATTACAATATTTGGTTGCATTGCATCAAGATGTATATATATAAATATATATATATATATATATATATATATATATATATATATATAATTATATTATTATATATATATAAATACATATATATTAGGTGAGTCATGATAATCAGAAAACTGATGATAATGATAAATGATAATGCAATAAAAATATTGGTGGTGACCGGATCATGATGCGGATCCAGGAATTTTTTGTTGCATCAGCGACCCTATTGCATCGTGGAAGTATGCCCTCTCTAAGTGCTTCTAGTTATTATTATTAATAGTATTATTGTTGTTATCATTATTATTATAATCATTATCATTATCATTATTTGTTGTTTGTTATCAATATTGTTGCCTCTTCTTGTGTGTCGCAGGTCTGGCCGTGAGCGCGGCTGTCTGGGCCGATTCGGTCACTCGGGTGCGACATATGGGGGGGGGGGGGGGGGGGCTTTAACACGACTCATCATCTCCGGGCTTTCTTGGGTGCAATGTAAAATTAGTGTCTGTAATTCGCTTAAAGAAATTATCAATATCTATAAAGTCAACAAAAGTTATATTAGTTTTCATGTAAAACATTTGGAGTTTATAATCACAAAATTCGTTTTTATTACCAAAAACAAAGAAACAAGAATTGTCTAATTTGAAACTGAGGATCTACACTCACACCGACGGCCCGTCAGACTAACGCTAATAATTTTGAATCTGTACATCAGTTTCCGTGCTTCTTTCTTCAAAAAAAAAAAAAAAAAAAAAAAAAAAAAAAAAAAAAAAAAAAACCGCCATGAAAGACGAATCTACGGTGAAACGGAATACGTCCTCGTGCTCCATGTTGCTCAACCGAGAAGTACTGTGCACGTGTTTAATCAGGGGGGAGGCACGTGCAAGGTCCATATAAGTACTTATACAGATAGACCTTGGGCACGTGCGGTCCATTACGGCGGTGCTTCTCGCCTCTGAAACACCCCGTCTGGCTGGGCACTCGGGCACAAGGCGGGTCCCGAACGTACGCAAGACCAGTTGAACCGCGCCTTAAGGAGTATATGTTTTGGTAGCTCTGGTTAGTTTGTTGGTTGGTTGGTTAGCAGACTCCAAAAGTTATGAAAAGATTTTTTTTTTTTTTACCTGAGGTGTGGCTAAGCCCAATGTTGTCCAAACATATTTGCTTATTGCACCTTTAATTACCTTTTTGTGCTGTTACGTAACCCCCCCCCCGTCCACAATGGCTATCATCATTATCATCATCATCATTATCATCATAATCATCACCATCATCATCACCACTACCACACCTCACATTACCATCACATCATCACCACCACCACCATCATCACCATCATCATCATCATCATCATCCATCATCATCATCATCATCATCAATCATCATCATCATCATCATCATCATCATCATCATCATCATCATCATCATCATCATCATCATCATCATCATCACCATCATCAAGCTTTTCATTCTAGCATAGCAATAAAAACAGAAATTATAAAAAGCCAACAGACATGGAGACACAGAACTATAGTCTTATCAGCTGTTCCTGATATCAGCGCGATACCCGGATGTACGGATATGCTTTATCAGTCCCGGAAAATACTTTCATACCAACACCTTTTGAACAGTCATAGCTCCATGGATGAACTAATATATGCTTAGTAATTATAGTAATTATTATTATACTGACAAGGAATTGCAATTATCTGTAGTATCAATATTACTCACGGAGAGTAATAACGTTCTGATGGAACTAGCAATATTGAAATATGATAATGGTAATGAAAATGGTAATAATGGTATTGCATTAACTTAAATTACAATAATTGTATAGGTGACTACAGTATCTCACAGATTAACACCAATACACGTAATTAGGAGGATATTAATGATATTGAGATGAGATGTGGTATCATAACATATATGTAGATTCGTTTTACTGCTCTACATAAACGATGTAAATATTGTAATTGTATTGTAAATGTAAATATCTTTCTTCGCTTTGTATATAGATAATATCAGAGTAAACTAATGATTTGACATTTTGATGACTAGTTTCGCATTTGGTAAATACATAATTATAACCTTAGATTCTAAAAAATAAAAACAAGTAAAATTTAAAGCTTTTTCACTATCTGTCAAAACGAATGACATTTCACTTCTAAATGTTGCTTCTACGTCAAAATAACTCATTTCCGTCCATACTAGTGACTTCCAGTTTGTAATTAGATAATTTGTAATCTCTACATCTCTAAAATTAAATTCAATTCCTTATCAAATTGAATATTTTCTATGCCACACCAAAATGAATAATCTTAATTAAAATTGTTTATCTTATGTCAAACTAAAATAAAAATAAAATGCCAATCTAATTTTGTGTGTAAAACTAGAGTATTCTTATGCCAAACTAAAATTATTACCTTATTAACTAAAATTAAAATATCAAAATGAAATTAATCATTTTATGACATGTTAAGATGATTAATCTCATGCCAAATTGAAAATAATTTTCACATCAAAATAAAACATATCCACGATAAAGTAAAACATCTGACATCATTTTATGTTAAACGCAAATATGATTCGAACATAACTTTGACATATCACAAATTCAGTTTAAACGTAAACCGAAATTTATCTTTAGCATAAATTCAATGCATATCTAACATAAATCTATTATGAACTTCGACGTGATTTAGTTAATGAACCAAAGAAAATGAGTTAACTGATAGAATAATTTATTGATAAACTATTCATTTTGATATATTCCCACATCAAAAATAAACTTACTTCGATTTGCGACACAACTCTAAATGCTCACATACACCTTAGCGTTTGTCAGCAACAAATTAAAAGCTAGATAAAAAATGCCACACGAAAAAGTAATTACCACTTAATCGGTCACCTCGATTCATCTTCTCTCTCTCTCTCCTCCCCACCCCTCGCCTCCCTTTCCTCTGTATCCCCCTCCCTTCCTCTCTCGTCTTATTCCTCCTCCCTTTCCTCTCTCCCCTTCCTTCTGCATCCCCTTCACTTCCTCTCTCTTCTTATTCTTCCTCCCTCACCCCTCGCCTTCCCTTCTTCTCTCTCCCCCTCGCCTCCCCTTCTTCTCTCTCCCCTCCCTCCTCTCTCTTCTTATTCCTCCCTCCCTTTTCTCTCTTCCCTTCCTCTCTCTTCTTATTCTTCCTCCTTAACCCCTCGCCTCCCCTTCTTCTCTCTCCTCCTCCTCTATCCACCTCCCTTCCTCGCTCCCTCTGTCTTCTCCTCCCTCCCCCCATCCCCTATCTTCGCTTCTTCTCCTCCTTCTCACCCCACCCCTCATCCCTCTCCCCCCTCTTCCCTTCTCACTCTACCCCTCATCCCTCTCCCTCTCTTCCCTTCCCGTATCCTCTCTCCTTCCCCCTTCCCTCTATCCCCACCCTCTCCTCCTTCTCCTTCTCCCCTCCCTCTATCCCCACCCTCCTTCCTCTCCCTTCGCCCTATCCCCCCCACTCCTCCTTCCTCTCTCTTCTCTGTCTCCCCACCCTCTCCTCCTTCCCCCTATCCCACCCACTCCTCCTTCTTCTCCCTTCTCCCCCTCCCTCTATCCCCGCCTTCCTTCCACTCCCTTCGCCCTATCCCCACCCGCTCCTCATCCCTCTCCATTCTCTCTCTCCCATCCTCTCCCTTCTCCCCCTTCCCCCTATCCCCACCCTCTCCTCTTTCCTCTCCCTTCCCCTATCCCCACCTCTCCTCTTCCTCTTCCTTCTCCCCCTCCCTCCTTCCTCCCACACCTCTCCTCCTTCCTCTCCCACCTCCCCCTCACTCTCCCTTTCCCCTTACAGCCCACCGTGGGACAAGTGCCTCTCCTGATCTTCGCGTACCTCGGTTTCTCCCTCTTCGTCTCCGGGTTTATCCTGACGGTGCTCGCCTACGCGCCCACGGACTCCTACCTGATGGTCATGATCCAGAGCATGGGCGTGATGGGTTTCCTCGGCCCGATTGTGCTCGTCATTGGCAGTGAGTGTCACTTTTTTTTTTTTCAGTACGTGAGAGAGAGAGAGAGAGAGAGAGAGAGAGAGAGAGAGAGAGAGAGAGAGAGAGAGAGAGAGAGAGAGAGAGAGAGAGAGAGAGAGAGAGAGAGAAAGAGAGAGTGTGTGTGTGTGTATGTGTGCGCGTGTGTATGTGCACGTGTGTCCGTGCGTACGCGTACGTCTGCATGTAACGTTACATGTCTGTATAAGCAGATGTGTCTTGGATTTATTATCTGTATTTGAACCAGAATTGTTTTAGTCTTAATGCAATTACGAATACAAGATAAATAACAACAACAACAAAAGAATAATAATAAATCAACTAACATATTCCATATCCCTCCCCAGCGATCATGCTCCTGGTGTCCATCTTCTACTGCTTATTCGGCAACACTGATGAAGACGACTACTAACCGACCGTTCGATCCTGTGACGTCATAACCCGCCATTTCCTGCCTGCAAACAATGAGAACAAAAGACTTTCCGGGAATTAAACAATCGTTGGTCGCGATGTTGACTCACATCTTTTATCCTTATTTGTTGTGCCAAATGCAGAAAAGATATGAATGAGAATTAATACCTTCGCAACAGAAGAGAGTTTCGAAGACATCTTCGTCAAAAATGCATGTATTTCTGAAGATATAATCGAAACCGGTTAAATATATCGCTCGATATTGTGAATATATTAATTCCCTTTCATACCTTTCCTAACATTTTTGCTTTATCTTTTTTCCTTCTCTTTCATTATACTTTTTGTTTTTGTTCTTTTTTTTCAGGCGCTTTTGATTATTCCTTTGTCCTTTTCTCTCCGCGTCCTTTATTGACTCTTGTTTTTTTTTTTTATCATGTTTACTTCATTGTCTGCATCAGCTGCCATAATGCTATTAAACACAGGTTTCTGAAAACGGTGTGAGAGGGTGTACCATATATTTTTTCATGGGAAGTGTAGGGGGGAGGGTACAGTCTACTGATATGCCGGCCGAATGGATAAATTTCTTATCTTATTTACTACACGAATGAATAATTAGATAGAATATCGACATTATAAGTGATATAGACCATCACTTATTGTATATTTTGATGGATACGGGCCTCTAAATCTTTACTGTGAAAAGCCGGACTCTAGCAATAATAGAAATTTAAAAATTAAATTTTCTCCCCCCCCCAAAAAAAAAAAAAATGTCACGTCCCTGTCACAAAAATATATACCTTTTATTGATCTACTTAGTTTCCATATGGTAGGTCCACCTCCCTGGATTTTCACCTGTGGATAAATAACTTTTTTTCAGAGTTCATTTTAGATTTAGATTAATTGTCTCCTGTTTGCATTTTTTATGTTTTATAGTGTATGTTGTATCATGTAAGTCAGAAGAAGCTGCGAATTCTAATTGGTCGTAGTTATCAAGTTTTGTGATTTTGTTATATAAATGTGAATTCAGTAAAAAATGTATGAATTATTACATTTTATTCATATTTACAAAGAAAAAAAAACTACACAA